TCTCTCTCTGCGTGAATGGAGAGGATGAAATGGGAATTGGGTTGTTAAATTGGTAATTTATGGGCTTTTGCAAAGGAAGTCCCCCAACTTCCAATGACAAAATAAGTAAGTCCTCATCTTTTAATTTAAACCACCTTAACCCTCAATTATCTTGAATATAAAATAAGTCCCAAGAAAAATAAATTATTCCAATTAAGTCCATATTGACCTTGACCTTGACAATTCAACCATTGACTTTTGACTAAAAATTTGAGATGTAACAGCGCGACGAAGTTTGAGATGGTACCCTGCTTGGTCTAAATCTGAGTACAGAAAGACACCTTTTGATGATCCTCCTCTTCAACAACTCTCAGATTTCATACCTACTGACTCCCAATTCGTACCAAATTATATGTCTAATACAAAATCATTAGAAGCAAAATCTAGGTCACATAGCAAACTGAAACAACGTCCCAAATGGGAAAAGAAACCAAAAAGCAGCAGACGAGGATCGTCAATGGATGGGAAGAATGACAAAGATAACTTATACCCTTGGTTAATCAAGCTTTACGGATCTGACAAATTTAGAAATGAGAGGGATTGTGATTCCATAAGTACAATGACCAGTAATTCTAACCACAGACGGTTACTAATCACATTTGAAATTATGTTGAGTTTTCTGTTTATTTTAATGAGTTTCATAACACTTGAGGCCTCTGATTTCATTCATTTGACTGCATCCTGTGAATTTGTACTAATTCTTCATGACCAAGTATGGAATGTCACGGGTGATCAAGATGATGAAGATGGAGATTGAATAATACTGCATAAATACACAAAACATGAGAATTATACCGTCTGGAGCTACCATCAGAGGACCATTTGCCCATCATGAAATTTTGTAATTCCTATTTTCTCGAGTCTATTTTCCTAAAGGAGTACCTCTACATAGGGGATGTTCACAATTTTATATTGCTCTTGTAAATAGTTATACCGAAAACCTAGACTAGGGTGAAAGTGTCTCTTACGTAGACCATATTTTAACAGCATTAAACCTTTGAACTTGAAAATTTATCAACTATAGATGCAATTTATAATTTGTCATAAAAGAAAAAAATTTATCTGCCAAAATTCATGATAAGTCATAGAGAAAGAGGAAGACAACCCTTAATATCAATTACAAACATTTTTACCAAGTGAAAAATTATGTACATTGCTGGTTTCTTCTAGCTTGGAGCTTGAAGCCATGAAAAAATCTAGCAAATTATAATCAATAGCAGTGCAAACATTTAAACAAACAACAAGAGACCTTCAAAGGGATTGGACTGAGAGACTCCTCCATTTGAATTCCAACCAAAAACCCATATCTCCAAATGGAAGAAAACAGATGCAGTTGCCTTAATTAGATAATAATCCATTCGAATTGATTAAGTAGCTATGTGAAACACATAGAAGCCAAGGCAGCAAGAGATCAGTTTTCACGCAGAGAAACCAAGAGAAATATACAAAAACGAACCACAAAGGAATAGGCGAAATTAAACGTCAAACTTCACAATTACTTTGTCAATTCAAGATCAATTGAACTTAAATACTATAAAATTAACAACTAACCTGGTAATAAAGGAGCCCAGTAGACGAATTCACAAAAGGCAGTCAACTGGTTCCACAGTTTTCACTCGATTCTAGATGACAAATTGCAGGATTCCAATGGTGAAACTGGATGCGTCTGGTTGAGAGGAGTTGAATGGTGGTGCTTCGACTTCGAAACGGTGGCCGGCGGCAGTGGTAATATGGAAAAACCGTCGATAGTCAGGCCTTTTTTTCCACAAATTGGGGGCAGTTTTTGCAACTAAGTGGCATGGACAAAGAGAGAGTTTATGGGGTTTGAACGGGAGTGGATTGAGAGAGGTTCAGGTGACTTCTGCTTGTAGTTTGTTGAAGAAGATAAAGAGGCTTTTCTCTCACAGGTAGGTTTTTTAGAACTTCAACTTGTTTCCCGTGTTTTCAATTTTTCTGTGTTTTCAACTGAAAATGCCCAAAATGACTTTTTTACCATTTTCTGTTTTCTTCAGTATTTTTTTGGTGTTTTCGAAAATACGTTTTCGAAAACGAGAAAGAGAACACGTTTTCACCATTTTGAAAAATCGAAAACAGAAAACGGCTTGAAAATGGTAAAGAGAACAGGGCCTAAGCAATTATAGGCCTTCATGTTCGTGTGGGAAATGCATTTGTGAAGGAAACAAAAAATTAATGGATCACTACCACATGGAGTATGTTATGTCCTTCTTAATGAGGCTGAATGAGTCTTATTCTCAAGTTAGGGGTCAAATATTGCTGATGGATCCTATTCCTCCAATTAATAAAGTTTTCTCTCTTATCACTCAAGAGGAACAACAGAGAGGGATAAATTCTACTGCTGGAGCCACTGACTCCTTGGCTTTCTATGCCTATGCCAAAAATGATGATAGAAAGCCAATTCTAAGGCAGTCTTATAATAGAATTCAGAAGAGAGATAGGCCGATTTGTACCTAATGTGGGTATGGAGGTCATCTCGTTGATAAATGTTACAAACTCCATGGTTATCTACTTGGATACAAAGCAAAGCGGAGGACTAGTTCTAATAACCAAACTGATTTTAAATCAAATGTTGTAGCTAATCAGGTTTCTGATTCAATTTCAGGACACTCTGCTGGTAATGTTGGTAATTTTGTACAAACTCTAAATCCTGATCTGTACAAACATTTGATGAATGTGTTGAGCACACATTTTGCAGCTTCAAAGGTAGGAGATGAAAGTTCAGATCCAGGTCATGTATTAGGTACTTGTTTATCTGTTTTGAATAATAAGCTATTCAATTCTACTGGATATTAGGTTATAGATTCTAATGTAACCAGTCATGTTTGTTTCCATCGTGCTTCATTCAAAACACTGAGAGTAATAAGAGGCCTATATCACATTACCAAATTATATCAGGATACCAATACATTTCACTGGGACTGTGGAACTTAATCCTGAATTAACTCTTCAAAATGTGTTATTTGTTCCCCAATTCAAATTCAACCTCCTGTCAATTAGCTCCTTGACCAAGGATTCAAATATAAGTTTCAGGTTCTTTACTGACTTTTGTGCCATTCAGGATCAGTGTAGTTGGAAGATGATTAGCAAGGCTGATGCTGTTAATGGACTTTACATCATTAAAGTAGGATTTGATGTAATGAAAGTTAATTGTAATTCATTTGATGATGTTAATACTCATATATGTTCTATAATAAATAAGGTGACCTCTCATGTTTGGCACCATAGATTGGGACATTTATCTTTTAAAGTGTTGGAAACTTTGAAGGATCAATTACAGTTCAAAAGTGAGAAAAGTGGTCTTAATCCTTGCTATATTTGTCCATTGGCTAAACAAAGGCGTTTATGTTTTACTTCAAATAATCATCTGTCTGCAAACAGTTTGACCTCATCCATTGTGATGTTTGGGGTCCATATAGCTCTCCAACTCGTGAAGGATATAAGTATTTTCTCACGTTAGTGGACGACTGTACAAGGTTTACTTGCTAAAACATAAGTCTTATGTGCATAAAATCATTCCCAGGTTTTTCATCCTTGTTGAAACACAATTCCATAAATCCATTAAAACTTTTAGGTCTGATAATGCACTTGAGTTGAGGTTTATAGAATTCTTTAATCAGAAAGGGGTGTTACATCAATTTTCTTGCACTGAATGTCCTGAGTAGAATTCTGTCGTCGAAAAGAAGCATCAGAATTTGTTAAATGTAGCAAGCACATTATATTTTCAGTCACAAATTCCAATTTCATTCTGGGGTGATTGTGTTCTAACTGCCACTTACCTGATCAACCGAACTCCTTCATCTATACTTCATAACAAAACTCCTTTCTCCATGTTATACCGGTCATCAGTTGATTACAATTTTCTCAAAGTACTTGGATGCTTGTGTTTTGCTTCTACCATCACTTCTCACCATTTAAAATTCTATCCTAGAGCAAAGTTATGCATTTTTATTGGCTACCATCCTGGCATAAAAGGGTATCGATTATATGACATTCTTTCCAAACAAATTCTCATTTCTAGAGATGTGATTTTCCATGAACAATCCATGAACACATCTTTCCCTTTCACTCTATCTCAAAGAATCCTAAAGTCATTGATTCGTTCCCTGACCTTGTTTTACCCAATCGCCTAAGGCTAGCTATCTTATTCCTTGCTTGACTTCTCGACTTGCCTTCATAAATCAAAGTGTTAGCCCGATGAATATTACTGTCATACCCTCTGATAAACATCAAGATGCTTCCAATTCACGTCCTATTCCATTTCATGACATATCTAGCAATGCTGATATGCCTTCACCCAGTGTTGACTCTACTGCTATTCCTACATCGAACCTTAATCCTCCTATTAGTTCACATAATTCTGTTGATCCTACTGATCATTCTTCTCCTGTTCCCACTACTCAAGTTCTCAGGCGATCCTTGAGAACTAGCAGAACTCCTTCATACCTACAAGAATTTCATTGTAATCTCTTAACTAATTCTTCATCCTCCACCATTTCATCGCCTCATCATTATCCCTTAAGCCACTATCTTTCATATTCTAAGCTTTTTCCGTCACATAAAGCTTTTACCTTAAACATATCCTCCAACATTGATCCACAATTTTATTATCAAGATGTGAAAGAAGCTCATTGGAGAGATGCTATGGCGGTTGAACTGAGTGCTATGGAACTAAACAAAACCTAGTCAATTACTTCTTTACCTGAAAGAAAACATTCTATAGGTTGCAAGTGGGTTTTTAAGACCAAATACAAATCGGATGGGAGTGTTGATCGACACAAGGCACGCCTTGTTGCGAAAGGTTTTAGTCAGCAAGAGGGATTGGATTTCTTGGAGACTTTTTCTCTAGTGGTAAAAATGGTAACTGTGAAGCTGCTATTGGCTTTAGCAACAACAAATAAGTGGCACATTGTTCAGTTGGATGTAAATAACGCATTCCTTCATGGGGATCTATTTGAGGAAATTTACATGGACTTGCCCTTAGGCTACAACCTTTCCAATTCTTCTGGCAGACAGGGGGGGCATTTAGTTTGCAGGCTACATAAATCAATTTATGGCTTGAAGAGGCTTCAAGACAGTGGTTTTTGAAGTTTTCTCATGCTTTGATTCTACATGGATTCATTCAATCAAAGTCAGATTATTCTCTCTTTACTAGAGGTTCTGGAGATCAGTTTGTTGCTCTACTAGTGTATGTCGATGACATTGTTATTATAGGATCAAATTCATGTATTATTGATGATTTAAAAACATTCCTTCATAGCCATTTCAAACTGAAAGACCTTGGTAAACTCAAATTCTTCCTTAGGTTGGAAATTGCAAGATCATAGACTGGGATTGTTCTATCCCAGAGGTATTATGCTCTCCAGTTACTAGAGGATACTGGGTTTCTTGGATGCAAACCTGCTTTGGTGCCCATGGATCCCAACGTTCGTCTTAACTCCTTTGAGGGAGAGCTGCTAGAAAATGGTTCGATGTATAGAAGGCTGATTGGGCGACTACTTTACCTAACAGTTTCTAGGCCAGACATTACCTTTACAGTTCATAAGCTAAGTCAATTTGTTTCACAACCTCGAAAACCTCATTTAAATGTTGTTCATCATTTATTACAATACATTAAAGCCACTCCAAGCTAGGGACTTCTTTTTTTGCTGGTTCATCTGTACAACTGCGAGCATATGCCGATGCTGATCGGGGCTCATGCCTAGACTCAAGAAAGTCAGTCACCAGTTTCTTTGTTTTCAT